TTTTTTTGAGTTGGAATCTCACTCTGTTGCCCAGACTGGAGTGCAGTGCTCTCAGCCACCACAGCCTCAACCTGTTGGGCTCCATCAATCCTTTCGCCTCAGCCTTCCAAGTAGCTGGAACTATAGGCGCGCGCTACCACGCCCAGCTAATTTTTTGATTTATTGTAGAAATGAGGTCTCGCCAAGTTGCCCAGGCGGGTCTCGAACCCACGGGCTCAGGTACTCCACTCACCTCAGCCTCCCAAGGCGGGATTACAGGCTGAGCCACCGAGCCCGGCTCAGAAAGTGTTTTTCCTGCTTAAGACTAAGAGTTCAAGACCAGTCTGAGCAACATGGCGAGACTCTGTCTCTACAAAAAAAAAATATATATATATATACACATATATATTATATATGTGTATATATATAATCAGTTACTTATATATTATATATATATATATATATATAATCAGTTGTGTGTGGTGACACAGTTACTTAGTTACTTGGGAGGCTGGGGTGGGAAGATCGCTAGAGCCCAGGAGTTTGAGGCTTCAGGGAGGCTGCACTATAGTATGGATAACAGTAAGACCATCTCTCCAAAAAAAAAGAAGTATTTGTCGAGTGGATGGATAAAACAATACATGCCTGGGTGGGTGGGTAGGTGGGCAGATGAATGGATGGATAAGCATTTGCCTCTAGGGCTAAGCCAAGTGTGGAACTGGTTTGAAAACAGCAATTAACAAAGAAGATATTAGAGAGGAGGGAGAGAGAGCTAACAGCTCTTTGAATACATGCTAGAATTTATTCTGCACCTCAGACACCTGGTTCAAAGCATTACAAAGTGAGCACTAAGAAGGCAAGCGGGCTGGACATGGCAGCTCATGCCTGCAATCCCAGCATTTTGGGAGGTCAAGGCAAGAGAATTGCTTGAGCCCAGGAGTTCAAGACCAGCCTGGGCAACATATTGAGACTTTGTCTCTGCAGAAAAATCAAAAAATTAGCTGGGCGTGGTGGTGTGTGCCTGCAGTTCCATCTACTTGTAGCAGGCTGAGGTGGAAGGATTGCCTGAGCCCAGGAGGTTGAGGCTGCAGTGAGCCATGATTGTGATTCTACCACTGCACTCCAGTTGGGGTGACAGAGTGAGACCTCAACTCAAAAGAAAAAGAAGAAGGCAAGAGAGTCTTCCTATAGGCACCAAATACCTAGTGCAGCTCTGACGGCCAGAGTCTTGTCTTGGAGATGCCATGGTTCTAGAATTCCAAAAAGACTTTAGAAATCTGGTAGAGTCTAGATCTCTGCACCCCTGTGCACCTGACACAGTACTAAGCTGATGCTGTGAATCGTACCTGTGCTGAAAACAACAGCCATTTGCAGCTCCATGACTCTGGACAAGGTTTTAATCTCTTTGAGTCTCGGTTTTCGCATCTGTAAAATGGGTCTACCTTATAGGGCTCTTGTGATGATGAAACAAAATAATCCTTGTAAAGAATTTATCAGCCGGTCTCGGTGGCTCAGCCTGTAATCCTGTGCCTTTGGGAGGCTGAGGTGAGTGG